GTGGTGTCTCTTTGCTATTGATATATAGTTGAGGGCAAGACTGATTTTTTAATGTGAACGTACACTGAGTACATTTTTCTTCCTTTAGCCTTGCCCTCTACTTTTTGCACCAGTCTTCGATTAGCTCAAGGTGTTCTTGGATATTAGAGGTAGCTTTCAATCTGATTTGAACTAGAGCTAGATAATGATGACGGTATTGGGTTGTGCAGGTAAGTCAAACGTATAGATGATGTAAAGGATGGGACCAAGAATGCTCCCTTGTGGGACACCGGCTAGTATCGGTTTGATTTCCGAGAAGTCGTTCCGCACTCTGAAGTAGCTGTCGGTTAGATAGGTTTTCAGGAAATCCTCAATTATTATTGTGGGCATAATACGCATTATAGCTTTTATCTACTATTGCTATGCTTCCTTGATAATATTCAATTCAACTTCGATTTGTTAATAAGCGACACTGAACAAAGTAGTGTTCATTAATTTCAACCTTGAAAGGCGATCTAGGTTAAACCACCATGTCGGATTTTCTTTCCAATATGTCGAGCGATAGTATAACTAATTTATTGTTATTAATGAGTAATGACTAATTGACTATTGTACGATTTTTCCAATTAAAACACTTTTTTGATTATACAATGTAGATAGATATAGATTTGCTCTAAATTATCAATTATCTTGAACTTGTTGTGTAAATTTTAGCTCTGATTTTTTTTTCGGAAGAATTATCTTAACACACAACACAAATGTAACAACGTCGTACGATTGTTGTTAATGCTGCTGTATCCTTTGGAAAAATTCAGGTTCCGAGAGGGGAAATGTGATGGCCGGCTCAATTGGGCGAGAAACAGAGCGGCTGCTGTTAGGGAAAGAAAGCTTTAAATATTTAATGGCAGTTATGTAAATGTGCATTAGTGCGAGCGTTGTCGACGGGAAACACAAACAGAGGGATAATTGCGACTAAGTCTGACTCCCTCCGGCTTTGTACACAGTGCATAATCGGGCAAACAGTCAAGTCGGCTGTAAAACGAGCTAATGATCAACAGGGATCGATGAACGTCCGCCGAGGGTGTTTGCGGCAAAACGAATCCCAAAGTACAGGTAGCACAATTAAAAAAATATAATTAACAAAACCAAGAAAACCTTCAGTTGAACCTACATATTAGTTTGCTTTGGTAAAAACACCCAACAAGTTTTAGTCAATAATGACGAAGTGCATCTGTGATGATCAATTTGACCTCAAAACGGAAGAAGGTCTGTCAATAAACAGACCACCAGCCATTTTGGGCAGAATTGGCAATTATAATTTGTGTTCATTGAAACTGGTAATGTTTATAAGAATTCATGGAACAGATAGAAAACTACTATTTGTATTGTTAAACCGTCCGACACTTATCAGTTTACTGGGTCTGTTTAAGCTCTCTACTTTAAGTTTTATTCGTACGTGTTTCGGAATTGTTCCTCACTGAAGATGACGTGAAGCCAAAATGTGTATGATAGGCGGGCGCACTGACCCCACAATCTAAATCAGCGATGATAGGCAGACTAAAATTATCAGTAACGAACATATTACAAGTTGATCTGATCGATTCTGATGATTTTACTGTATCAGTTCATTCTCGCTGTTATATATATATATTTTTTTAAATGTTACTTATAACTTTTTATATAAGCTTCGTAATCACTTACCTTGATGTTCGACAAACTAGATCCCCGGCCTAACGGATTTTGCTTTTTTGACGAATAGACCATCAATGATTCGTCCTTAATCGACCCCTAGTGTTGATACTCTCATAAAAATTTATACAGAATACAGAACGTAAACAGTTATAAATATTGTGAGATGCCCTGCTTTAAGGTTACGCGTTTAAGCTTTTTCTTCAGTGATAAACAATGATGTCTGGCAAACCAAAATGAAATAAAACGATCAAATTGCAGCTACAATAATATGCCAAAGTCACACATTACATTCACGCTAATAAATACATGTTCATTACTTCCTCAATCTACCGACATACCCAAATTAATACAGAACATTCTCCTCTCTCTCCCTCTCCTCTTTCACACTCTCTCTGGTTCTAGGTTCGAATCTCGGCATTGTCCGATGTATTGTAACTGATAATAATATGTAAAAACCATTGTAAAGTGGTTTATTTGACCCTCTTCCGCGACACCTAGGTAGTGTAATTAAGCCCTCCTGTATGACAGGTATTATTTTACCTTAATATTTATTTACTTATTGATTATTTACTTTCTTAAATAAAATATAAAATTCTTGCTGGGTTTCCTTAAGGTTAAGGCCATATGTTAACCAAATGTGGCCTATTATTAGTCTATCAAAGATAATTTTTTCTCGGCTCCAACCAATGATATATTGCTTATTAAACGTTATAAAATTTCGGTTAATTAGGCCAGGAGAGTTATCATCTACATTATTTATGGAGTAAATTGTTATAAAATGTTCTTTTAATATGGTACAAAAATATTTTACATTGTGTTCCTTGCATGTTTGACAATACTTTTCTACAAGAATTAAGTTTTTGTGAGCGAAACAGTATTAACTTTTTTAAATACAGTCGTATGTTTTTATAATATGGACAGATTGGTCACAGTGCGATATTACCCGATGTTATAGTTTTTCTGCTGTTTTAAAGCATTACTTGATTTGAGCACGAAACGTGTCTGAATTTCTATCTAAACAGCGTAGATGTCGTAAAGGGTCTTTTGTAAAAACAAAGCAAGGATAAGCAGACCGAGATGATTCGTGATGATTGATTATCTATAGTTGATCATTGGTATAAGTGGGCGGTGGCAGGAGCAGTGAATACAGCGAAAAGTGTCCGAGACCAAAATAACAATAAGATGTAATGTTCAGGGTGTGTAATATAATGCATCGTTTGAGAGCTATTCTATCCCCATTTATGTACTTAAAGTACACCGAGCCTTAGTTCATCAAGGAACTGGATTAGTAGGCTCGGGGTTTCAGTGGTTGAATATCGTCTACGGTCCAAAAGACTTCCTCCTGCGGGCAAATGTGGCGGCACAGTTTGTTAGTAAGTGCGTTGGTGTCTCTTGTGCTTATTTGCAGATACTGCACGTGCTGTGTTGTGAGTATTGTTATATTCTTGTTGTAGTGCCCTTTGTTGAGATGGACCGGGTACACTCTCAATTGCATGAACTTCAACCTATTGTACTTTCCCATGTGTTCTGAGTATTTGGTTCTAGGACCGATTATTCCTGCCCTCGTACCGTTCCTTCGTTCTAGTTTGTCAGTTTACAAGCAGATTGTGGCATTCTCAAAGGAGGAATTTTTTCCATTCTGTTTTTGGTAGTTAATTTGTTTGGAAATTTTGCTTGAATTCAAACATCCTGATCATTTCGTCTTTTGGGGCTGAGTATCGGATGTTCCTTTTTTAGACTGTTACTATCTCTCCAATCAATTGGAAGTTTTTCAATAATATTTATAATCGTTTACTGTGCTGTCCGCATTATCATATCGTGGAGGATGGCTATTCCCAATATTTTTTCAGTTCTAGGATGTTTTTGTATTTTCGTAGTTCTTTATGTTTTGTTATCCGCCCAAACTATGTGAGTATAGGTTTCACAATCATTGTGTACATATATATTACGCAGGGTGGGCGACCAGGACCCGGGGGGTTAAAAGCCCAAGTAGGCCCGTACCCCATCCCTAAAAGGTCCGGGACCTGGTCGGCTCACGAGTCCTGCATAAACCACTTGGACCTATTCACAAACCCCAAGATCTTGGACCATTTTATCTTGGGGAGTATTTTGGTTATGTCCTCTCATTAGAAAGTTTCAAATCTTTCCGTAGCATACCTAACACATTCTGCGAGGTAGTGTCGAGCCGTTTCTTCCTTTGTTTCACAGAAGCGGCAAAAGGGGTCCCGTTAGTATACCTATCAGCCTCCTAATTCCCCTCCTTCAGTTAGAGAATAACCATTTCGCTTCTTTTGGTTTGATTTCCTTCAGAAACTCCTTCGATTGCCTATGTCCGGGGGACAGATTCCATTCTTTAAGGAATTGTTTCATGCCCCAGCAATTAATACTCTCTTTCTCTGTACTTATAGAGTGGGGTAATACCGGTTGTAGTATTTGAGCCTTCTTTGGCCAGGCTGTCCGCGTCTTCATTGCCATAGTGCCCCTTATGAGCAGGTATCCATATGAGGGTTACCCTATTCTCGTCCCTAATAGTAATCCTATTGATAAGTTCAACGGTTTCTTCTAGATGGCCTAGATGTAGATAACTCTTTTTGTAATGACTTAAGACTGGCCTGACTGTGTAAAGATATTAGAAAAAATTCTATTATCTTTTTCCTTAGTATTATTATTCATGAGTGTTCTGCAGCAAACATTGATGGCCCAGACCTCCGCCTGAAATCATTGTGTACATACAGATGTAATCCATCGTGGATCCAGTTTTCTTTTTCGTGTAAAGGCAACTATGGTTTTTTTTGTTAGGGGTTATTGGCCTGTTAGGGTTAACTTTGTTAGGGCCCTGGCTGTTTTACACTATTCGTTTGGGATTTTCCTTCTTCTTGGATTTGGCTACAGAGTGTTTCTTCAAATTTTCCTATGGCCGTCAGGTCTATATCGTCCTCATAACCCTGACATTTTATCTTGAAATCTTTTTTCTTTTAAATCCAGAGTGTCAAGCAGTAAACAGTGTAGAGCTAATAATAATCCAATATTTTAACGATGAACTATTGAACCGAACTCCGCTGATGCAAAAAATAGTCATATTGATGTGAATACGGCAATTAAGGTTAAATAACACGTATATAACAACTCTCGGGTTTTGGCGGCTTTGCATAATGCCATTTCGACCAAACGACTTTTAACCCTACGAATTTTGATGGCTCTAACTGACCGCTGCCCATCGACTCTCACAGCAATCACACTGTATAAAAAGCGTGAGGGCGTTGTTTTTTATTTTAATTTATTTTTTGTTAACAATTCTTCTTGTTTTTATCTCCCTTTCTCTTTTTCAGGGAAAAGCTTCACGTTGTCGATAATTGTGAACTCCTGCCCGCCTCAGATAGCGACGTACAACAAAGCGATTAAAGTAACCGTCGATGGACCGAGGGAGCCTCGATCTAAAACCAGTAAGTAAATTAGTTAATTAATTTAATTGTTATAAATAAACAGAACAATCATTTTCAAAAATTCTGTTCTTTCCGCTGATCACTTTCTAATTGTTCGCCTTCCGTCTTTGGTTGAATGTACATGTCCTATTAAATTATAAGTGCATGCATACAAACGTTTTGTAAAATTGATGTCAGTTAATGAAATATACAAAAAAAAAAACAAAAAAACAACGGAAACTGAGGGAGGAGATCAGACAGATACCATGATAAGCATTCCAATACAATTTAACTCCCAAGTACAACTTCATCAACATAAACAACTTATTTGTACCAGAAAGGGAAGAGTGGTCCAATTTCTACTGGTCAGTTTACTGTCGAAGACTATACTGACTTTACGCTACAGTTATCCAGTCTGCAATCATAGCATTTGAACAGAGAAATAAAAGCACTCGGAACCGATGCCAGGAAGAAAGACATTTTCTCAGACAATTAAGGCCTTTGCCTCATGTTAGGTAAAAGTAAAAAGCGTTTGGAATGGTATGGAATTTCTAGTAGAAGGCAATGACACCAATGACCTTTTTCTGGCATGTGCCCTTGGACATTTGGGACATAGAGGCAATGAAAAGTGGACATGTTAGCCAATAAAGGAGCCAATATTCATCCCATAAGCCCTGAATCTTACTGTGGTCTTGAGCCTTGCCATAAAAAGTATCCAAAAATGGATCTTTAAGGAATCCAAAACTTAGTGGAGAAACGCCCCAGGCATGAGGGACGCAAAGAGATTCATAGAAGGGCGCAAAACTTATAAAGGGGAAGAGAAACTGCAACAGAACCTCGATCATTTTGGTAGATCCGGCTCGTGGCATCAAGGAAATTAGTAGGAGGAGGCAATCTGTGAAAACCAGATCCACCACTAAAATGGCGAGCAGTGTATAGGAAGAGGGAAGTGCATGGGTCGGCATTCTATAGGGGTGATCAAGTCATAGCCAAGACTTTTCGTTTTCCGGCGATTACAGAAGGCCGGCTTGACTTCTTCGATGAAATTGTTGAGAGGAAGCGGAAGTTGTTAGGATTCGTGAAGTTCTTTGATTAAATTTTGTCATTAACAAATCATAAACATAAAAATTAACAATAATTCGCAAATAACGTTTAGACTATTCATGGGAGCAGTCCACGCAAGCAGTCCTCCCAAAAATGAACAAACCTTTGTTTGTTTAAAAAACTGGAGTGTGGCAAATGAAATTTTTTTTGAAAATGAGATAAGTACAAATATCTAAAATAATTTTCACCATGGGATCATCAGCTCCGCAAGCTTTCGCTAACCTTCGAAGGCCCTTGCCCCTTTTTACCTTGCTTCTTTGGTTGAGGCCAAGATTGTTCTCTTCTTTTCAGCCGAAGCAAATCAAGCTTCCAATTACAAAAGCAACAACAAGGTTATAATATTACACCGAGCGAAAAATGATTTCCTCAACGAAACTGGACGTCCAGCGGTTGCGTCATCACGGGAAACTTCAAACTGCTCTCCTATAAAAATTTTTTATTTACGTTTTTGGTCACATTTTTATAGAAAACTGCTTAATCGGTTTCTATGTTTTTTTTTAAATTCAGTGTATCAAGAGTTTATTTAATTAATACAGTTTTTTGATTAATTAACTATTACATATTTTTTTTTAGAAAAGACCTTTTACTAGTAACACTTAGCAGTTTGTACAAAATTTACTACAAATTAGTTTACAAATTTTCCTCTTAGCAAAGTAGAGTTTTTTAGGTGATAAACACATTATGAAAAGCTAAGTTGAATGGTCTATTCATTGCCGAGAAAAAGGCACCTCAAAAGGTTTTGGGGAGGCGGATTGCTCCCCTTCAATTAAAAAAGAAAACTGTCGCGTAGTTACCGGAATAATAAAAACCTTGTTTTCTCGGACACACGGTTTGAGAGCTATTGTCTCCCCCGTTCTGTACTTAAAGTACACACGGTGCGTCCTAAATCATCAACGGTTTCAGTGGTTGAATTTCTTCTATGGTTAAATTTTACCTTCCAAAGACCTCCTGAGGGTAATTGTGGCACTACTGTTTGTTAGTAGGGGTGTTGGTGTTCCATCTGCTTCCTTGCAGAATGAGCCGTGATGTGGTATACCAATCTTCTTCAGATGCTAATTCAATATGTAGCGTCCTGTTAAGGATTTGTTAGGATTCCAAGTTTTTCTGCTTCCTTTAATGCATTATGTTCTTTCTATCCTTCCAAAATCTGCTAGAAGGTTCTTGGATTGTTTATGCGAGTGAGTTGCTTTATTATTGTTCCTTTATTTTCTTTTTATCCTTCTGTCTAAGGTGCTCACTGTTAGTGTGGATTCCTATGCCACAGGAGGGCTCAGGAACTGTCCGCGATATACCAGCTTCTTTCATTGGAAGGCTGTACGATCTCTCGTTGCCCTCTAATCCCACATGTCCTGAGATCCAGAAGAGAGTGACTTTATTCTTCAAACCTAATCTATTTAGTTTAGTTTTCAATTCAGCTCTTAGAGGTAATGTTGTTTGAACTTATAGCTGTATTCTAGGTTTTGTACCATTTGTTAGAGATTTAACAGAGTACATCTCTTAATTGCAGGGACTTCAGTCTCAAAGACACTGGATATTTTTCCATTGGTTCTGAGAATTCGATTCTGGGACCAAACACTCCTGCCCCGACCTTCCTGCGTTCTAGATCCATCCTTGGGCCAGCAGATGGTGCCAATCTTATAGGAGAGGTTTCCCTCTTTTTCTCATGTTTTGATGTTAGATTTATTTGGAAATTTTGTTTGAACTCAAATATCCTGTTCATGTCGTTTCTCGGGACCATGAGTATCAGAAAATTGCAATAATCAGACTAAATGCTTGAAACCGAATAAGTAAAAAAGAATTTTTGGTTAGTTTAACATTAATCTACAAACTCATTTTTCTTCGAATACTTTACACTTAACATACTTTACAACTGTTTGCTCATTTAGAAACGCACGATTCATAGTTAAAAAATCAAATATGTTTATGATAAAACTTTTTCTAGAAGAAACAATCAGAGAAATCATACAGCTGAATTGAAAGCTTGAATCTCGTATTGTTTACACATCTTGCAAATATACACCATTACTTGAAATTTTACTTGTTTATATTTTATTGATAGGATAACATGTTGAATTAACGTAGTGTTTTTTGTTCCAGGACATCAGTCTTTCCATCCGTTCCACTTTGGGCCAAGACCGTTCCCATTTCCGGGCGGCATAGACCCTCAACGAGTGGAATCCCTTCCGTTCAAACTCTCAGGTATGTTTACTCTCTTAACCAGTTGATTAATTAAGTTCATAAATTAGTTGGCAAGTTAGTCGCCGGCTAACAGTTACGAGTTGAATATTAACTTTCCGGATAGTCTACTTGAGGTTTCTATTTCCAATTCGGTCAATATATCAAACTACAAAAATACATGTTTGTTGAAAGCCAAATAAAATTATGTTTTTTTAAGCCAATACTGTTTTTATGATTTCACTTTAGAAAATTTAATTTACGAAGGATTTTAGAAACTTTTTTTATCGAGAAAGCTGTGTTCAGATTTGGAAAGAGTGTTTCTTTTGTATTTACTAAAGATTAAAACCTTTTCATTTATTTATTTGTAGCCTATATATATTTGTACATATTACCGTTTTTTACCCAGAGGTCACCTGCCTTTAGAAATTAGTTTCAGTATTAGAAGTATCGACCATTTTTTACTTACGAGCACTCTGGATCAAGGTATGGTGTTGAAGAAGAAGAAAGCAAATTTAGTTGCTAATTTAGTAATAACTAATTTAGTAGTATTTACTACTACAATAATAATAATTTAGTAGTAACTAAATTTGCTTTCTTCTTCTTCTTCATGACCATACCTTGATGCAAAGTGTTTGTACTAGAAACTAGCCAATGCTGGCAATCAGTGTGAAGGATTAAGGTGCGACGTGGCAGGTTGTCGGGATTGGGGCAGGTCGGGCTCGAGCAGTAGGATTACGATGGATCGAGGGTTGGTGTGAAACTTTAAAAATCGGGAATGGATCAATTCGTTGACAAAATGAATGTTGAGGTAGTTGAGGAACGTTTCGTTAGAGACGGATTAAGTACTTTGATGATTTGTCTGAGAACTTTTGATTAGAAGGATTGGATGCGCTGGATGTTGGATGGCTGGCTCAACACGACAGCTCAACTCCGCATGTCCGAAGTGGTAGTAGTAAAGTCTTGTATAAGTGTCGGTTTAGGTAAATTGCGGTCCAACAAGTCTTGGTAGTTGTCAAAATCTTCTGTTAAGTTGTTGTCTATTAAGTTATGTATGGGAATACCTCGTCAATCTGCTGTCTAGGTATACACCTTTCCTAACCCATGGTTGCAGGGGAGGGGTTACAGGCAAAACATAGTGGTATAGCTCTCAGACCGTGGTGAATTCTCTTAAGCTAGAGCAGTATTCGTGTGTTGGCTTTTGAGTCAGCTGCTTGAGCACTCGATCATTATGACAGATGGGTTAGGGTACCAGTTCCTGTCTGCAAAGACGGGGGAGTGTGCATAACCAAATGAACTACAGGGTAGCGCAAACATCCACATTCCAAGCCCGGTAGTACGCTACATGGTATTGGAATCGTAGTGATCTCACGGAGACGGTGGTACTTAGACTAGAGTCTGTTGTTCGGTTGTACTTTTATCGGCTTCCTTTACCGAAGGCAGTGCTTCTCTAGGAGGTGGTTAGAAATTCCGCTATAAAAAAAACCGCGACCGGAGCAGATCCGGCAGTTCCGAAGCTGGTGGGGCCCCAACACTGGGATATAGTTACCTTCTCTATCTAGATAGTATAATAGTGTAGTCAACTGATGCATTCAGTATCGAGTGAGCTGCTTTCTAATAGTTATGCGGCATACGGTCGGGTGCATAGATGTCGGCCCACCCCCTCGGGAGAAGTCACTAAACCTCACAGGATTAACACTGATTACTTGAGAGAGCGGAGGTGTGTTGCTCCTTTCTTGAGAATCTAAACGTGTGGCAGGTGCGCGATGATATTGCGACCTCATATGAGGTCATATGAGGAATCATATGCCTAAGTATAGTTCTAAACATTTGACTTGAATGGAAGTCGGTATCCCTTTGTTGTTGATGTACAGTTGAGACCACGACTGCTTTTTCAATGTGACCTTACACTTAGTACATTTATCTCTTTCAATCTTGTCCTCCTTTGCACCAGTCTTCGATGAGCTCGAGGTGTTCTTGTATGTTGGAGGTAGGTTCGATATTATTTGAGCTAGAGCTTTGTGGTGTTAGTGGCATTGGATTGTGCAAGTAGGTCAGCAGTTTAGATAATATAAAGGATGAGACCAAGAATGTTCCCTTGCGGGACTTTGGTTTGTATCGGTCTGATTTCCGACAAGTCTTCGCCGCATCTCACTCTGAAGCAGCGGTCAGTTAGGTTAAGGATAAGTTAATAAACATGTTCGGTTGCCAGACTATCAAAACCTGTGCTAATCTAGGTCCTCGCACAAGCAATATTCTTCGTTCTCTAGGGCAGAGGAGATGGTGTGGACAACACCTTGTTGGATCCTAAACATGCTTGTTAATATTAATTCTATAAATACAACGTTTGAACTAATTATGGATAGTAATATTTCTTCGCTTGTTTAAAAGTGATCATGGTTTTTATGTTAGGTTTTGATATGAATATGTTTTTTTTTACTATCAATTTCAGAATCAAAAGGTATCTTTTCAACGACATATATTTTGGAAAATTTGTTATTTTCTTAATCTTTTGTTTTTCCGTTTACCTGGTTGATAACTTTTTTATTGTCGTCAAATAATTTTTCTAATTTCGCAAGTGTAATTGAACTTTGAACTCTCAATGAAAGGTTTTTCGTCTATATTGCGGCCAGACCTCAAAAACCGACTGCAACTGGTTGAAAAAAAAATCTGAAAATTCTTAACTTTTTCAACGCAATTATTAGTTTCCCTGTAGGCAATTAACACGTTTAACATTCCTGTTCACTCGGCCCAATTAAATTAGTCCGAAACTGTTCCGAAAGTGATAGTTAGGGCCAAAAGGGCCAAGTTGGCCCGCGGCCGGAAATTGCCCTTTTGAGCCTTGATTAACCAATTAACACTCACTTCACACGAGACCGATCAAATTCATAACTTGTGCTCAAAGCAAGTGTAGGCTCCGTTAATCATCCGGCCATCATTTCCTCGCATCTTTGACCTTTTATCGATCCGACAAGTTGAGATTTTCGCTAGCAACGTGCCCTTAAGTAAAGGGGAATTCTTAAAAAAAGATATCTATAATTTTTGTTATATTATTGTATAGCTATGCGATTCAGTCGTAAGGGAGAGCATAGAGCTTATTATTTACTGCTTATGATAATGTGGATTTCGGAATTGACTTAAAAGAGATGTAGTTTGGTTCGATTATTGTAGTCAGCGTAATCTTCGAAGTTCTGATCTGTCAGACTCAACCATCTTCTGCCTCTCACTGCTTATGACCATGCTGTGCACTGAAGATGGCGAAAATAGTCAGAAACGATTAAACTACAATATATAGACAAGAAAGAACGTGAATATATATATACATATGTATATAATATATACGTAAATTATATGGACATAGATCATTTAAGAATATGAACAGAAAATCAAACTACGCGACTCACTTTAAATAAAATCTCGAAGAACCCTCACGTACAAAACTGACGAAAAATTGACATTCTTGGAAACTACCATTATACCAGCACAACAGTGTCCACCACCATACCCGATTGAGAATAGGTCATACGTGCTTGACTCCCGGGCAACTCTTCTTGAGCCAAACTCACGCAGGTGCCCCTTATGCAGAGAAAGGTTTGGAGGATGTGACCCACACTCGATTAGTTTCGGTGACGGAAGATTTATAAAAGTACCCCTTCGACCCTTATTCGGATTAGATTAATAATATTGCATGTAGGTCGATGGAGGAATATCTCGGACTACACCTACTAATCAGAATGAGTGGAATGTACATAGGTGTGAATGTATTTATTTGTGCGACTGTACTGTAGAAGTTGGTATGTTTTAGCTAGATATTATTTTGCGCTGGAGGCTGAAATGATCTAGCGGTCGTAAGCTACTCCTGTTGGTTGGGAAGCGACGGTACCTCCTCGACCCGGTATAGGAAAAATCTTCTGAGGTAGACCCTAGGGTTTGTTTAAGATTAACATCATAGCAACCTTACTGTCGATTTAAAACTGGAAACATTATTTTTTTCTGGGCAATGTATGACTTTGATAAAGATTTACTACTGGAATCTCAATTCTTAAAATAAACTGCCCAATTCATTATAATATAGACATAGTAGTCTCTTGTTGATAGTGTAAATATGTCAAATAAAAATGTAAATAAATAAATGAAACAAAAATAGTAAAATTTAAAGGAAATGTGTGTAATAACAAGTGGAAGCATGAAAATAAATAAATAAAAGCAAATCGGGGAGCGTCAACCTTTCGGGGTAAAGTCCAAAGTCCGTTGACACCATTTAAGTCATTATATAAATTCAAGAAGAAAAGAAATAGACAAAGATAACGCCAACTCACTTCCATGAGTTTACAAGAGACTCGACTCAAGATATTTAAGATATCTCACAGGCCCAGCACTGAAGATGCGAGAAGCCGAAACAATTCTGCCAGGCCAAAACGACAAAATTATTGGAAACGACCAAAACTACAGGTTCATCACTCCGCAGATCAAATGAGAAAATGCGATCAATAAAATCGTTATAATAAAAGATTATTGTAGATATTATCCTTTATTACGTTCGTTTAAACATCTGTTTGCATTATATAAAGTCAGGAGGTAGGGGCTGAATGAAAATTTGTCGTTCCCAGTCCATAAAATTAGCATGTTTCGAAATCCATTTCAATTAGGGATTGTGCTTTTATTCCATGCGATTCGTGTAACTGATAAAACAAAGTATTTCTGATCCAAGATTGATGAGGGAGAGCCTCTCTGAGGCCGAGGGACCGGCATATTAACCTGCAGGCCCTCCATGGAAACCGCTGTAAGCTGCTTACCTGCTGCCAAATTGCCGTATCATCTGCCCCCTTCTTTAAATCCCATCAGAAACGTTTCGTCCCACTCGTCGGCGTATGCCATTCCTCATTTTTATCATTAAATTACGAGTGCTTTTCGCCTTCCGTTGAGATCCGATCCTTTTTTTACATAATTTTCTGCTTCAAATTGTTTGGAGTCAGCCCACAGTCGTGGCGTGCAAATCGGTTCGGATTATTTGTCGAAAGATT